TTTATTATGTGGATAATGGACTGCTTTGCCTTAAATTAGGCTCTTTAATTGCGTTTAGGTTCCAAAATTTATCCTTTTACAGAGCTTGTTCCTGTTTAAGGGAAGTGACGTATCTACTGAGTTGGGTGTTTAGGTTATTGGTCTTAATCATTGCATAGCATGCCTAATTTTTAAATCACTTTTTACTACTCCTTTCCTTTAACATATCCGGCTTCGACTTGCCATTATTTATTTATTGAGCATCATAAATGTGGTTATTTAGCCCAAAAAAAGAAACGGAAAAAGATAAATTAAGATAAAAATTGTGGCAGGATAAATAATGTGAAATTTCGACTTGGTTGAGAGTCAAACAATTAGTATATTACGCATTGATTAAGAATTAAATGGAGCTTAAAGCTTGTTTTATTAAGTTGGATGCATTATATGGCAATGACATGTCTATCCTATTTGTGAAGTAGTCACCAATCAAGAAGGGCATACATATTATATGAACTTAAAATATTTGCAGGGGTGGACAAAGTTTAAAATATAGCATAGGTGTGGATGCACACTAAGAGCACGATTTGTCTCTCTTGCGGTGATTGCTGGAATTTTTTTTACCTTAATATAAGGAAAAAGTTCTACATAATTAAGGTGTATCTCAAAAATCCATCGGAAAAGGCTATTTTGATATTGGAAAATCATCTAATTGATTATCTCAACATCGAGATCAATGGATACTTAAAAAAAAAAAAAAAATTGAATATAAAAGATAGTACATCTTGCAACACATTATCTAGACCATCTATTTTCAATATTTTCATGTGTTTATAGATCTGCTTGATTTGAATCATTTTTTGAGTTTCAAATTTTATAATTAGAGATGAAAATAAATTCTTGGGTCATCTTAAAAAAATTTAATACTAAAATTACATCTTATAATGAAATTTGGAGGTATAGTTTACTCTGATTGTTTAAAGTTGCAACTAAAACCTCACCCTTAACATAATGCATTTTAATTTAAATGAAGGCGCCCTTTGAATGCGTTAGGAAATGCATCCCATAAGAAAAACAAGGCAATTGCTTAATATAATGCATTTTAATTTAAATGAAGGCTCCCTTGAATGGGTTGGGAAATGCATCCCATAAGAAAAACAAGGCAACTGCCACTACGCTTGACTAGGACTTGAGAACTTAAGAACTTCAGAACTTGGTTCTTTTATTAGTATCCACTAGTGTCTTAGAATCTGGACTGGTGGGCTGGATCACACACCCATCGAGCCCGAATTGGCTTGGGATGCCTGAATCATCGATCGGTGGGCTTAGTTGTAAAAATGTTTTTTAATAAAAATTAAAATGAAATAAATTTTAATGGGGTTTTAAAGACTACAACACACTTAGAAATCCAAAAACGAATTAAAAAAGCTAAAAATAAATAAAAGGGGTTTTGGGATACCGGCCAATTCTATTAGCAAAAAGTTTTGAAGATTTCACCTCTTTCTAAAATTCATGCATTAGAGAGAAATTTTGGATTTGAAATGTCAAAAGTAATCTTGGACACCATAATCATGAAACTGGAAAAAAGTATGGACCTTAAACTCGATTTATCTTCGAAGAAATAAAAAAAAATCTAAAAATGATATAAAAACAAAGCTTACCATCATATATTTTTAAGATTTAAAACGTATTTATTTATTTTTCCAAAGCACAATTTTCAAGGTGGCGATTATCGACTTGTTAACTGAGATCTAAAATCAATCTCTATGATGTGTTTTGAAAGGAGATCGCACATGAATAGTGAGTCAGTTGACAGACCAAAACATAATCCTTCATTAAAAAGTAAACCCGTACATCAAACTATATGGGCCAGCAATTCCATTTTCGTCTTTCATTATCAAATTCAAAACTTCTAAAATGGTAGAAATCGGGTATAACTGTAAGCATAAAAAATGTTACAAGATACACTATTTTCAAGATATAAAATTTGTTCTTCTTTGCTATAATTATAAAGATCTAGCGCAAACCCAATACAATACTTATTAGGAGCTGTGAGTTAGTTGAAGTGGAAGGCTAAAAAAAAGCAACGAGTAGGCCCCAAAGGATATAGTTGGAAGTAGTGAGAAAATATATGGGGTTTATGACCTCAATGAGGATATGACTCTTAATAGAGTTGAATAATGAATTAAGATTTGTGTAGCCGACCCCAATTAGTTGGAAAAATACCTTAACGATGATGTTAAATTGCAAAGATCGAGGTGATCAATTTCAGAATTTTTTTTGCCGCCCAGACTGCATTTTCTATATAGATACCAAGATGCAACTTTATTTGTTTTACTAAAGAACCTTAGCTTTTTAGATTATTTTTTTCCCAAAGAACCTATATTATTCATAAGTAGTTTCATAATTTTATTTATTTGAAATTATTTTTAATATTTTTTTAAATATATGATGATGAGAAATATGGACATATTATATTTGATGTTAATCTGATATATAAAAAAAGAAATAAAAATAAAATATTCTTTATGTCAAAAAACAAAAGACTTAATTGTAAAATATGAAACATGTGATTACTTTTAAATATAAAAAAAAGTTTCCCTAAACTTTTTTGTATTTTTACCTTAAATATGATGATTTAAAAGGCCTCCAAAGTCTTGGTGCTTTGGAGCCGTGACCACCCGCTTCCAAAACTAATAATAAATAATGCTTTTAAACGTGCGAAACCGCGAGATGCCACTTGCTATCACCGACCAATGCAAAGCACGTTGGGCCCAACACCGAACATATCTCAAATGACTCCCTCGGGCATGGGCATAACCAACTGTCCGGTCCAGCCCCGGCTCTAGCTCGGCCCTAGTCTTTAAAGGGCGAGCCTGAGTCTGGTCTGACCTTGATTGGGCCAAAGAAGACTTCGCCTATGCCAGGCCCGGCCCAAATCAGCATAGGGTTAGGTTGGCCTGGCTGTGGCCCAAGCCCTTTGCTTGGCTCCGGCCCTAGCCTTGGGCCGATCACTGGGCCACGGTTTGTGGCCCAGATCCTAGTTTTAACTGGGCGGGGCTTGGGCACCTGGCCAGACGTACTTGGGCAAAATACCTGCTCATGAAGTTTTTGTTGTTCAATTTCAAGTTGGGAATCTACTTTAGAAATTCTGCATGAGTATTTTCAAAAAATGAATATGAATCCTAGGTTTTTTAACAATTCAATTTGCATGTCAAAAATTTATGGTCTCTGCTTAACTGAGAAAGTTATTTTTTATGAACATATAAGGAATGCGAAATATTTTCCTTTTTTATCTAAATTGGTCACTAAACCGAGAAAATTATACCCAAAATTTGTGTCTAAATGTTACTCCCAATATTAATCAAGGGAGTGGAAGCATATAATCTTCTCGCAATTTAGAGTCATGCCTGTATTTCTTTATTGATATTTTATAGTAGGAGATCATCTATCTTTAGAGAAAGTATATATAAGACCATTTACATTTGGTACAAAGCGTTTACAATTAACCTTGACCACTGGATGTGAAATTGGATGGTTGCATTTATTTCATTGGCCAAACTCAAAGTTCAAAAAAAATTTTTTCAAACTTTATGATACACCCAAGCTATCAGATTTCACATCGGATAGTTGTAAGTAATTGTGACGTCCCTATACCCAAGCTAAATGGTCATGTATAAAATCCCTAATCTTTATTACAAAGAGGTCACAATTGTTATTGGCCACTAAATATCAAATTGGATGGCTTGTGATCTGTCACAAAGTTTGAAAAAAAAAAAATTTGAACTTTGAATTTAGTCAATGACGCACTCACAACCCTTTAGATTTAAAATCTGATAGACAAGAATAATTGTGACCTCCTTATATTAAAAGTAAATGGTCTCTTTGTATACTTTTCTTTGGACGGCCAATTTGCTTTAAAGAGCCTAAGATAATCTTGTTGACTAGATGAAATCGTTTCAATGGATGGTGAATAAGGGTGGCAATAGGTCAGGTGGCTCAACCCAAAAAAAACTAGAGCTTGGGCTACAAAATGCACCTGAGGCTGAGCCAGAGCTGGACAACCGCGGCCTGAGGGTAGGGCTAGGCCACATCTGCGCCATCCCTCTTTTTCTTTGTTTTTTTTTCTTCTTTTATTTGGCCTGGATGGCCCGAGGGTAGGGCTATGCGAGGTCTACGCCATCCCTCTTTTTGTTTGTTTTTTCTTTTCTTTTATTTGGCCCGGCCCGGCCCGGCCTCAGGCCAAGGCCGGCCGGCCCTAGGCCAAGGCCGGCTGGCCCTATGGGGGCTAGGGCAGGCCCAGCCCTATGGGGACTAGGGCAGGCCCAGCCCGTTATCAGTCCTACTGGTGAAGACCCTAAAGAGTATGCATTTTACATAGTGGGTGAATGTTGTCTCTAAAATTAAATTATAATCCCAAATAATAGGTCACCAGTAGGGAAGCCAATTCAACAATGAAGAATAATGGAATCTGGAAGCCAATTCAACAATGAAGAGTAATGGAATCTTCTGTTCAGTGTCTGGTTTTCTACTGCTTGTAGTTCTTCTTCACTATCAAACAAGCTGAAAGGTGCTTTCAATCTTTATTTAATCCCAATTTTTAATACTCCCCACTTTCTAACATGACTAGACATTGCATACATCATCCCAGTGCTCTGCAATTTCTTTCTCTTCTTTCAATTCCTAAAATATCAAGGATTGCAGTCTGCAACTTCCATCTCTTTTCTACGTACTTAAAATATCAAAGGTTTATTATTTAGTAACACACAGCTCCCCAGAAATGAAACCAAATTTGCAGGAATCTCCAGTCCAAACAGGACCTCAACACCTACCAGAGAGAGAGAGAGAGCCTCAATGGGGACTGTCTGGTTGGGTAGAGACAGGAGTTTCTTTTATTATTTATTCTGTTTCTATCCAATAAGAAAACCATGCAAGTTCCTCTTTGGGCAACCATGGTATATAAATTCATGAGAGCTGAGCCTTAACCTCACAAGACTTGCAGCTTGAGCTCCACAGCTTTAGCAATGGAGACAAGCAGCTATTTGCCATATGATTTCCATTTGCAATCAGCATTGTCTGAATTCATGGAGTTTGAGCAAACCCATCTCTTACTTCATCCAAAAAACAGAGAATTCGAAGACATAGACCCTCTTGATGATATCTTATTTGCACCAGAAGGACCCGAATTTCCTGTAACTGATACTTTTGACAATGTATTCCTTGATTTCGATGAAAACCCAGATTTTCCCATATCTGATGCAGCTCCACTCGTAGCTTCTCCTCCATTTCAAGATCATTTTCAAAGCCACGTAGAGCCCATTACTGAGCTGAATCAGGAAGAATCCCTCAATTTTATTACAGAAGAATTCCATAATGCATCTAATACAAGTGGCAGCAACTTAACTGATATGTTATTATCAGCAGTAGAAGCAGTTGCAACAGGTAATATACAAGTAGCCTCTACCATTTTACCCAAGCTTAGTTCTCTTTCACCAGAGCTAGAAAATGGAGACTACCCATTTAACAGATTGATTTTCTATTTCACCCAAAGCCTTAGTAGTAGAATTACCAGAATGGAAACACATGTTGAGCCCGGTCCCATTATTAATGAAAGTTTGCAAGCTTTTGAGGTGCTTCAAGATCTCACACCTTACATAAAATTCGCACATTTTACTGCAAATCAGGCCATTTTAGAAGGGACCCATGGAGTTACAGGCATTCATATTATAGACTTTGACATAATGGAAGGGATCCAATGGCCACCATTAATGGTAGAGCTTGCATTGAGAAATGAAGCCTTTCTTAGAATCACAGCAATTGTAGACTCTACGCAAGTGGATAGAAATTGGGCTTCAAACCAAACAACCGGACGAAGACTTGGAGAGTTTGCAAATTCAATTGGTTTGCCTTTTAGGTCTGACTATTTGCATCTTTTCTTCTTTCACTTTTAGTTTTTTAAGCGTTCTGAGCCCTTTTTTTTGGTAAGTTAGTCTTCTGTGCTCTGATGTTGTGGGGTAAAATCTAGGAAAGTGGGTACCATAGTTATGTTTATGAAAGAAGGGACACATACTAGGATGGATCTCTATGATCTTGAAAAGCTATGGTAATCAGTGTCTATCATCCTCTAATATAAGGATGGATGGTGATGGGGGGAGTGTTGGGCCTACAACTTGGGTAATGTCATTTTCTTGTGGGACCCCACTCTCCGTTACTGTCGATAACACTTAAGACCACAGTTCACCCATGATCATATGGATCATAGTAAGAATCATATGGATCATAACACACTGTTCCATGAACGAAACATCACTTATCCTTCATATGGAGCTGAGATTGCAAGACAATGGTCGAGGGTTCCAATCTCATTGGTTGTTCAATATGCAAACAAAGTTCAACCAACCAAAAAAGTTACTAAAATTTTTGTTACACTAATCATAATAGTTGTACATGTATTATCAATCACAAAGTTAAGCTGCCAAATTTTCCTGATATTAAAGTTACTCTTTTCCAGGTTTGATCAAATCTTGGTTGGAAAAGCCAATGGCTTCGAGGGGCTCGAAACCGGAGAGGTACTCGTAGTGAATTGTATGATGCACATGTTGCATATGCCCTATAGGAATTCAAATTCACGTCAGACTTTCATGGAAGGTGTAAGAAAACTCAAACCAAGAATGGTTGTGTTGGTTCAAGAGGAGTTGTTTAGTTTTGGGAAGGTCTTGTCACAATCCTTTGTTGATTTCTTTGTAGAAGCATTTCAACATTACCATGCATTGTTTGAGTCCCTATTAAATGGTTTCCCAAGTAGGTCCAAACTGGGTCTTGAGATGATTGAGGCAGCATTTTTGGGACCTAGGATTTTGGACTGCTTTCAATGGTTTCCATTGGATAAGAGGAAGAAAGGGAGGCTCTTGGATTATGGGTTTCTTATGCAAGGTTTCCAGGTCACACCCATGAGCGCTTCCAATATATCTCAAGCCAAGCTTTTAGTTGGGCTATTTACTGGAAATTATGAGGTTCAACATGAGAATTGCAGGCTGAAATTGTATTGGAAGTCAAGGCCGATAACAACAGTGTCTATCTGGTTCCCTGTATGAAATATTATCAGTGATAATGACAATTATGTAGATTAGGCAAAGTAATTATACAAACTCAGTTCTTCTCATGTACTTTAAGGATGTTGATGTCCTTAAGGGAGTCATGGGAGTTTGAATGCAAATTTCATCAATATGCATGTGTCCATCTATTTTTCTTGCTTATTTTGCTATTGTTTCATCAGCATTTGATTATTCCAACTCCATAAGACTCTAGGAAATTCACTTTAAGAGCATTTTACCTCAAATCCTACTAAAAAAAACCGTAGTATTGAGGGTGTGGATTCAAGATTTTAGCAACATCATAAAATATAGTAGTAAATGGGTCTCAAAATCGCCATTAATATTCTAAAGAACCCTAACTAATCTTATATCGATGGAAAGAGGAATGAGTTAGGAGTTTGCACAACCAAGTTTCATCTCACAACTCCTCCCAGATTGAGAGAAATCCTCTTTAAGTGTGAGCAAAGGTCACCCTATTCGTAGCATGTGAAAGTGATCCCCCACCAACTTCTCTCTAGAGATCTTCATTATCCAAACTATACATATATTGATGGAAAACTCTTTTGACATAAAACAATATATCTAAAAACCAACCCAATTCTCCATGGCAATTGGAAGATATGGCCTCAACAAAACATTATTTTTTGTTGTTTTGATGTATTTTGGCGAATAATAACTCCAGGTAGCACATGAATAAGATGCTATAGCCAAGACTCTTTAGTAAATGGTGCCAAATGATGTTCGATTGACCCTCAAATTAAGACTTTTGAGGACTCTTCTATGATTGTTGAAAGTATCAGACCTGTTGGGTACAGATTTCCAATGATTTCTTGGTAATTTTGCTCTTTTTACTATGCTACATGGGCAGTCATCCATCCTATCAAATTGTTTCTTATGCATTTCAGCTTCCCAATCTGATTTTTTGGGGTGGCAATGGGTCGGGTCGGCCGGACCTTGACCCAGACTCGAAAGAAATTATGCGACCCAGATCCGACCAAACCTGAAGTTATCAGACTCGATTGGAATTGGACCCGGACCCGACCTGACCCATCGACCAAACCTGAAGTTATCAGGCTCGATTGGACTTGGACCCGGACCCGACCCGACCCAATTGGACCCGACCAAAAAAACAAAAAAAACTAAATAAATAAATAAATATTATGTTAATATATACATTTATTATTTAAATATTACAACTAAATATATATATATCTATATATATATTTTTTATTTATTTATTTATTTAAATATTATTAAAATATTATATATTGAATATTATTTATATAATAACACTATTCGTGTCAGGTCCAGGTCGGACTGGATCCGACCTAAACCTAGACACGAGTAGTGTTCGGGTGCAAATATTGGACCCAAACTCGACTTGCTGGGTCCAATTCTTAGATTCATACCTGGACCCGTGTCGATTCCATACATCAGGTCTCGGGTCCGTTCTAGGTCCATTGCCACCCCCATCCATTTTATTATTCCTTGGCAACTTAAATACACAACAACCTATTATTAAGATAACAACAAACCAACGGCGTAAACAACAAACTGATCTTAAGATAACAAGAGAGAGTATATCCTAAACTAGCAAAATAATAATGTGCCCCACACCAATCGGGACTTTATTCACAAAACCCTAATAGTTTGAAAGATGACCTTTTATTAGTTATTTGATCGTGGGCTGTAGGTCACAACGTTCTCCAAAGCTCTTGGTCTTTATTCATGAGGTTGTCAATCATTCAAAATGAGAATTATGTAAATGTGATCATGTAGGGACTTTTTTGGGATTTTCCGACTTTCTCCAACAATTCAGGCATATATGTTACCTTGAGTTGGGGACAATCATGTACCCTGCCTTGGGGTAAGATGAGGCCCTAATGCCTGCCCTCTAGGTCTTAAGCATGTTGTAGGGTGAGGGTTGCCATATACGGTCCAATTTTTTTGCCACAAACTTGACTGAAGTGGTGTCATGTATTCTGAAACAAAAATATCCCCAAACAGTCACATAAGATTGTTGTTACTAATGTTCTAAAAATCGAACCGGCCTCATAAACTAGTCAAGGGCTCGTTCCGAGTTTGGTAAACTGGACCGGGTAGGTCCCAGCCAGTCAAAAAAAAAAAAAATAGTATATTTACAGCATGATTAAACAAAGCACATCCAAATGAATTAAAAATTAGTGAAAATAATAGATTTTAAAAAATCAATTTGTGCCTAAAGGTATTTTTGAAAGTTTCCAAAAAAGATCGAACACTGTAAAAATAAGTATTCATGGCCCAACACTTTCCGATCTTTGCCAAAATGATACAAAGTATTTAGAAAATTTCATTATAAACAAATTCCTTATTTTTTTGAGATTTGACATACACTTTTTTGAATTTTTTTAAACACCAGACCACCAAATCGGCCAAATTGATATTGGCTAGAGCCCGGTTCTGAGTTTGCAAATGCTGGTTGTTACACAGAACCGAAAGTAGAAGGGCTTAGTTTCTTAAACCGTTTTGGTTGTTCTTTGATTGGATCCAAACTCATGGGATGCTCCCCATTCCTTCAAATATCATTGTCAAAAATTTGTCTATATGCACTGGGGGAAATATGCTTGTAGGATGTAAGTAGTCTTAACTGAAACGCTCATTAAAAAACTCTAAGAGTTATACTCTCTTGAAAGCCTCATGAAGGAACTAGAATGCTCAACTGATTTTGCTTTCAACTAAAATAGATAGATTACTGATAAAGGATCACAAAGAAACAAATCCCCCTGATAATGTTTGAGAGATTCGATGAGAAAATTGGGTTTCTCAGTTAACCGCAATGAATACTTGCCGGAGTAGAACTTTTCCTCTTGATTAAACTTTGTATCCTCTTTTTACGATCGAAAATTTTGGTCAAAATATAGATTAAGTGGGTTTGGGTAGTGTAAATACAGTAAATTTTAATTCCAACAATTCAAATTTTCCTTAACTCTCTTAAATAAGAAGGTTGCCTAAACCAAGCTCTATTTTTTTTTTAAATTGGATAGATCAGTGAGGATATGGGCCTTACCCTTTTGATGAGAATGGAGGCTGAGACTTCATCATAGGCTTTGGAGGTAATACCGTCGAGGCCCAACCCATTCTCGCCTTAACCAAGATCTTCGCAGTAAAATTTATTTAATTTGTTTTAATTTCTTTTAAATTACTAATTATTCTACACTTGAAAAAATTAGTTAAATTGGTTTGAAGTTGACTTGGTATACGCAAGAATTGTATCAAATTTCGTACCTCAAGTTGGTTCTAATCATTCTTGTCATGGAGTAGGGAAGGTTTTAGTTTACTTTTCTTGGGGACGTTTATGTCTCCGAGTTGTCTTAATGAGTTAAAGAAAAATGAAATATGTATTGAAATATGTATTGAAAATGAAATATGTATTGGAAAATGGTTTCATTCCGGCTGGACCGAATGAGATCCAAAAAGGGTAAAGCATCTATTTTAAAGATGGATGCAAGTAGGTGTTTCATTTAAAAACAATGGAAACTAACGGTCCAAATGTTTTCTTACTAAAATCATTATTTCTAATTTTTAAAATTTACTTATTTTTTCTTATTCATGATCTCCATGTTAGAGATTACATGCCTTTCAAAATTAAGCCCAAAAATCCATCTCTAAACTATATTTATTAATAGTCCCACATTTCTACATATGCGCGGACTCGGTCGCATGGAAACCGGGTCCATATGTTCTTCAAGAAATAAGATGAAATGCAAACTATCTTGTTTGGTGACATGATTATTCTACATTTCATGCCCCCTTGGCATGCTAGAACGCTTCTACTATATGAACCATAAGAGAACTAGTACTTGTCCAATAACACCTAAAAGTTGAGTTATTTAACATTTTATAACAGGTGTGATTTGCTAAATTTCAAAATCTATGATGACGTGATATTTGATGGGTTGTTTGAAATTTAATATAAAAAAATGATGGATTATTTGAGATTCGATTCAAAAATCTAGGTGAGATGTTAAATAGTAAGATAGTTTAACTCTTAAATGTGTTTTAATAAATTTCCTAAAAGAAATAGCTCATATTAATAATGTGTATATCATAAAGTCTATAATTCCTATATGTGTTTCATTTGTCCTCTATTGTCACTATATTCCTATAAGAATAGTTTTGTCTAAACCAAAATATACATTATATATAAATTTTATTAGGGTTTCATTCCTAATTAATAATAATTTTTCGCATATTCCATTCCATTTTGACTCTCTATTTACTATTTTTACTTTCTCGAAATCTACCACGGTATCAGAGTGATAAAGATTTGATAATCTCTTTCCGTTCCTACTCACATATTGTCTTTTTTTTTCTTTTCTTTTTTACTCCATCTTATCTGATTTTATACTCCATCTTATCTGATCTTGAATTACAACAAACCCTCGCCACTGAAAATCTTTCCAAAGGTTCTCGCTCAAAATCGAATCTCATAGACCATTGGGGTCTCTTTGTATCATCCTCTCTCTTGTCTATACTTCAAGTAAACTTTATTTTTCTCTTCTCTCAGCACTCCACTCCCGTCTTCACTCTCTCTCTCTCTCATTTTCTATTTGTTTCTTTCTTGTATTTTCTCCTATTTTGTCTCCATCTCCTACCTTACCTTTTATTAGCATTATTATTTTTATTGTACGTTTCCTGTTTTGTCCTTCAATGAGTGGTTCCCTTATCCCCTCTCAAGACTTGCTGGACCCATCTTTTCGATTTTGAAACATGTCCACCTAATTTTAACCTAGAGATTTTATTTTTTCAAGTGTTCACTTCAACCCTCACAGCACCTCAGTATAACCTTTCTTAAATATCTTAAAAGAAAGAACATTCATCCTCTTTTTTCATGGATTCCAAAAATAATACGTAAGTGTTGTTATCTCTTTTTGTGAACTATGACTTCTTACCAAATGCGATGGTTTCTTATGGGAAGAAAGTTACGGGGTCATGTTGATGGTTCTATACCCTAACCTACC